GACCCTCGGCCCTGCCCGTGGCCACTGAGCACATTTCCCTGGGAGGTGAAAACACCTTTTTAAAGTTGTTTTTTCTTTTCTAAGTCGTACACCTTGTCTCTTATACACATCTAGATGTGTATAAGAGACAGGCCTCACCATCCCTTCCCTGCACAGCAGCCACGTGTGCGATCCAGGGTGCTCCACTGCCCTCCTGGGCCCGCCGTGGCCCCATCCTGCCGTCCTGTGCTTGCTGTCCCTGGCACCCCGCCGGGCCCCCTCCCCCGCTGCCTGGTGCCCTCCCTGCACTTCCTGGTCCTGGGAGAGCCGCTCCTTCGTCACTCGCATCTCGGCCACTGCCTTCACCAGCCATCAGTCCCTCGGGCCGGGCCGGGGCGCCGGAAGGGTGCATGTTCTGCCTCAGCCCTCAGAGCAGGGTGTACTTGGTGGTCCCCGAGCTGCCCGAGGTCAGACAGCCCAGCAGGAGCGGGAGGCGGTGGGGCTGTGGGGCAGCATTGAGGGGCACGCAGCTTTCTCGGTCCCCCCATGGGAGCACGCCTCTGTGTCTCTGGGATCCTAACCTCCCACTTCCCATCCCCGCCATGGAGGGTGGGGCTTCCCAGGCATCTGACCTCACGTCTTCCCTGATAGCCCAGAGCAAGACCCTGTGGGGGGCTGGCGAGGAGGGCACCCGCTTCCTGTTCTGTTGTCCAGGGAACTGGTTGGCATGTGTTGTGGAGGTGCATGAGTGTCCGTGTGTCACAGTGTGTGTGGTCACCCATGTGTGAGACACTCAGTCGGAACTGGCCAGGCTGTGGTGTGCTGGCTTCACGCCACCCCTGCCCTCTCTACAACACCCACAGCCCTGTGTGCCTGCAAGGGCTGGTGTCCTGCTTTGCAGGTGATCCAGGAAGAGGGCGAGGCGCTGGTTTGTGGTCACACAGAGCGGTGGGTGCCTAGGCCTGTGCGTGACGCTGCTGCCAGTGGCTCTGACTGGGCTCAGCTGAACCTCAGGGCTGGAATGGGTGTAGGCCGGGCCACTGGGTCAGTGGTGACCATGGGAAGGAGAGCAGGGGAGTCATGTGCAGGGCGTGGGCTTTGCTGGCTGACCAGGCCAGAGGACTGTGAGCCACCTGCACGCCCTGGGGCCGGAGCCAAGCAGAGTGACGCAGCGGGCTGGGGGCTGGGAGGGAACGCCCTTCCACCTGACTGTGACCTGAGGGCACCTTCCCTGTGGCCCAGCCGGTTCTGCAAGCCTGAGTGGCTGGCGCAGCGCTGGGCAAGGCTGGAGGCTGGGTACTTGGCCAGGTCTGAGGCCACGGGAACAGAGGGCTTGGTCCCGCCCGGCTCAGTTAGGAGCAGGGAGCTGAAGTGTGGCCTCTTTGCTGCTGAACTGAGGACTTTTTTTCAGTAGGGATTAAGCAGGAAGACCATGTGACCAATGAGGAAACTGGGTTTGGTTTTGTTTGATTTTGTTTGATTTTCATAAGTGTAGGAAGCTCTTGACTTAGGTGCTTTTACAACAACTTTAAAGTCACATCATAATTGCGTTTTGCTTTGAGTTTTGAGCATGCAGAGCTTAGGCTTCTAGTGTAGGCGCACAGTCAGGACCATGCCGATGGGGCAGCCGTGTGTTCGCCAAGCGTGGCCTGGATGCTGTGGACATGCCGGCTGGCTCCCAGCAGGCAGGGGCCGCCTCGCAAGCCACATGTGTGACCCGAGACAGGTGCTGAGCTCACAGGGGATGGTATGAGTGACCCCACGCCTCCCAGTAATACCTGTGCAGGGTGAGTGCTGATGAGCGATGGGCTGAGGTCCATGGCCCTGTGGCTGCCATTGGCGTCTGTGTTGTGGTTCTGGGGGTTGTTAGTGGGACGGTCACACTCCCGGGGAAGTCACTGCTGGGAAGAGGCATGGCAGGCAGCAGCTTTCTCAGTTGGGCAACTTGGAACTAGCTGGCCGGCGCGGTGGTTTAAGAACTCGCCCGTGGGGCTGAGGACAGGTGGTAAGCGCTGCCCACGGTGTCCAGCCCCGCTGCGCCCTCCCTTGGCTTCTGGGAACAGGAGCAGGCTCCGTGGTGGGTGTTCTGGTTCTAGGCTGGGATGCTTTCTGTGACTGACGTGGTAATGGGAATCCCACCAGGGCTGGCCCTGCCTGTGGAGAAACACCGGGCACAGTGGTCAGGGTCGGAGCCAGCAAAGCGCAGGCGGCTGTTTCAGGGCTGCCATGGACTTTTAAACCTGTGATTTTTACTGTGAGAGTGAGTGAGGTTAAAGTCCGTTCATGCGGGGATGCAGTGAGCTGTGTGCAGGGCAGGAAGCGGGTCCTTGAGGGGTCCTGGGCTCACGTGGGGCCAGAAACCATGTGCAGGGGATCCTAGGGACGGAATCCCCACATCAGCTGGTTTGGGTTTTTGTGGGGGCCTGAGGAGGGCACCAAGGAAAGAGTGGCCCGGCCATGGGCTTCCGTGGTCATTTCTGCCCCGCCAGCGTCACTGAGGAGCTAGGCAGGCAAGTGGCTGGGGGCTCTGAAGGGCAGCGGTGCATGCGCTTGGGTCAGTGCGGTGCCCGGGCGGGGAGTGTGGGCCTGAGCCTGCGTGTGATGGGCCAAGCAGCTGAGTGGTGGTCATTCAGGACCCTACTGACCCCTGACCCTGTCTCTGTGGCCAGGCCCCTGGCACCAGGTGGCTGGGGGTACCGGTGCGACCCTCGGCCCTGCCCGTGGCCACTGAGCACATTTCCCTGGGAGGTGAAAACACCTTTTTAAAGTTGTTTTTTCTTTTCTAAGTCGTACACCTTTTCCACAAGGTGGAGATCACTGCTGGTGTGAACTCTTTTCTCCTCCCCTAAAGGCACATTCAGGACCCTGCAAGCCAGCGGCTGACGTGGAACAAGTCTCCTAAGAGCGTCCTTGTCATCAAGAAGATGAGAGACGCCAGCCTACTGCAGCCGTTCAAGGAGCTCTGCACGCACCTCATGGAGGCACGCGGGGCGGGGGGGAACGGGGCCTGGGGTGCACACGGAGTTGTGGGGGGGCCTCCGTCCATATCGCTGCCCCGTGAGACCACGGGAACCACCTCAAGTGCTGGGAAATGACTCCTTGTCTGAAACTGGGGACCGAGCAGGGATCTGCCCACGTGTCTGGGTTTGTGTGTGCTGCCATGACAAGCACCAGACTGGGTGATCAACAATGGGCCGGATGGGCTCATGGCCCTGGAGGCCGGGAAGTCCAAGATCAAGGGGCTGCATCTGGCGTGGGCCTTCCTGCCGTGTCCTCCCTGCAGAAGAGCAGGCGTGGGGGGCGTGGCACGAAAGAGCTGGGAAACCGAAATAACAGCCTTAGTCAGTTCCTGAGAAGGGAGCCCCTCCGCCCAATTATCTCTTAAAGGTGCTGCTGCTTAATCCTGGTGCATTGGTGATGAAGCTTCAGCGTCAGCTTGGGAGGGGCGGGCATGCAGGCCACGGTGCCAGGTCTCTGATTCCAACGCCCGTGAGTCGGGAACCTCCCTGCAGGAGGGTGGGGTCTGCAGGTGGAATGAGCAGGTTGGCACTTTGCTTCCAGGAGAACAACATGATCGTGTATGTGGAAAAGAAAGTGCTGGAAGACCCTGCCATCGCCAGCGATGAAAGCTTTGGGGCAGTGAAGAAGAAATTCTGTACCTTTCGAGAAGGTGGGCTGTCGGCAGCTCTGTCCTTGGTTTCTCCAGCACAGTTCCCTGCCCCAGTGGAAGCTTCTGGCACTGTTGCCCTCATCATTGGTGTCTGCGCACTGTACCACGGAGGGGCCGCCCTGTGACAGCCTCTTCTTGGTTTTGCTTTGTGTTTCCTAGATTATGATGACATTTCCAATCAGATAGACTTCATCATCTGCCTGGGGGGAGACGGGACGCTGCTGTACGCTTCCTCGCTTTTCCAGGTGAAGCGCTGACGTTTCCAGACGCGCACCAGGTTCTAGTCTAGGTGCTGCGTAACGAGGGGCTCGCAACCACGGCTTCCATTACTTTTCACCCCGTAGCTTTATGCGAGAGCAGTCATCTAGAGCGGCCAGCACCGACTCCCATGGTGGCATCCCGGTGGGGCGCAATGGTGGGGCTAGGGGCAGTGTGGACACAGTGCTACAGCTGGGGGTGGCCAGAGCGCCTGGAACAGGAGGGAGTGGTGCAGGGCAGCAGGTCCTGGGAGATGACCTTGCGTACTGGCCCATCCCCTCCAGGCCTCCCTCGAGCTCTTCTTCCTGGTTTCTCGGCAGCACGGCTCTCCCCCTGGGCTGTAGGGCCACACTGTGCGGGGACCCTGGCTCTGCCCTTGGCCCGCTGCGTTGGTGACACCCGGAAATGCCCGCAGCCCACCCCGCTCTCCTCCTCATCTCCCCATTAGCACCTGTGGGGCGCGAGGCTGTGACCCCGAGGCCGCCTCCCACCCGCCCCCGCTGGCTCCCCTGCCCTCCACGTCCAGGGGGTTGCTCAGC